CCTCTACAGCCAAAATTCAATTCTCTTTTTCTCATAGAAGCATATTTCAGTGTTAATATGTAAAGTAGGGCTGGGGATTCAAGCAGTAGCGCGCTCACCTGGCATGTGTGCGGCCTGGGTTTGATCCTCAGCACCACATACAAACAAAGACGTGTCCTCCGAAAACTAAAAAAAAAAAAAAAATATATATATTAAAAAATTCTCCCTCTCTCTCTCTCTCTCTCTCTCTCTCTCTCTCTCTCTCTCTCTTTAAAAAAATGTGTAAACTAGAAAACAATTTGATTATTTCAATAGGATTATAAAGCTCTTTCTTCTATGTATACAGTATAAATTTGTAATGTTCTATGTGAACATGGATATTATAAATTATTACCAGAAAGAATAAATAAATAAATCATTATCAGAAAAACCTCAGATACATTTTATTTCTGACTTTTAATTCTTATTTTCAAAATTAATATCCATTGTAATTATCTTCAACATCTCCTATGAAGAATTTAATCATAGCATTTTTCTCCTCCTTTATCCTAATGAGGAAGTTCAAGGAATCATATGAGCTTCTGTTCTTATTACATTACACTTGAGAAAGTTCTGACTTGGCTGCTAAATATTCAACAACAACAATTTTAAAACAACTGGATAATTTGCTTTTATAGTGTGACTCTAATTTTAAAAGTTAAAAGCAATTTTTAGAAATTGTTGAATGTATTTCAATTAATTTTTCTTCAATACATACTGACTACATTTTTCATGGTTGGCATAAATTGCCATTTATAGAACATGGAGAAGTCTGCTTTGGAAGGAGTATACATTTTTGCTTGTTTGTTTTGTGGTGCTGATGTTCAAAGCAAGGACATTGCACATGCTAGGCAGCAGTCATCGGTTTGAGGAAGGTCACTTAACTACCAAAATTGCTTGCCCTTTCTCAGCTCTGTAACCTTGAACATGCTGCTCTGACTGTGTAGCAAAAGGAGGAAAAAGTGTCCTTCCTATTTTTCTAAAACATACACAGATAGTGGCTAAGGTCCTGAGGGTTGCTCCCTGTCCATCTCCAGGCTGGCTCAGTTGTCCTAATTTGTGTTTCACCTGTCAACTGTTTGTCATATCACATCCCATCATCACTCTTACCCTTTCCTACAAATAAGTACTAAGAGGTAAGTCTCTGAGCTCCTGAGTTTACATTGTAACTGAAGAAGAAAAAGACAAGCAAATAAAGCAACAATTATTCAGTATGAACAAATGATATAAAATGTTCTATTCTACACCTTTCTTTGGATTTTGTGCCTTATAAATATTCCCTATCAGTATGCACAATTCTTACTCATTCACTTTTAACCTAAAATTGCATAGTGTTTATTATACAAAATTACCACAATTTATAAAATCAGCCTCCTAGTGAAGAGAATGTAGTTTCCTTTCAATCCTGGATTATCACTAAAAAGATGCAATGACTACTAACACATAATTCACCTCATACTTATATAAGTACTTCTCCAGAGTAAATTCCCAGACATGAATTTTCCAGGTTAACTGTTATGTTTTTATCACTTTTATGGCTTTATTCATTTGTTTCCCACAGGAAGGCATCCAATTATACTCTCATAATAATATGCGGGAATTTTCCTTTTCCTCACAGTCATACCAATGGAGCATATTAATCAAACTTCTGAAATTTTGTCAATCTTAGAGATGAACAATGTTGTCTCATTGTAGTTTTAGCTTGTATTCTTATCATTAGTAGGTTGATAATTTTTCTTTTGTATTTTAAGAGTCATTTTTCTTTTCTATAAGTGATATATTCAGATCTTTGGCCTATATTTGGGTGCTGTCATAAGACAAATCTTAAGGTTTTTTTTTGCATTTCTGTTTTTTAACTGATAAATAAAAGTGCAAAAATTGTACATATTAGTGGGGTACTACATGATGTTTTGATTCATGTATACATCATGAATCAGGTTAAACATATCTATCTTCTCAAATAGATATTACTTCTTTATGGATAGAATGTTCAACATTTTTTATTTAGCATTTTAAGGTATACAGTACATAGCCCATCTGAACTTTTTACTCCTGCCTCACGGTAACTGAGTATCTATTGATTAACATGTTTTTTTCATCTCTCCCTTCCCTGTACTCTCAGTCTCTAATAACCACCATTGTACTCTCAATCACTTTGAAATCAGTTTCTTATATTTCACAAATGAGTGAGATCATATGGTACTGTATTCAGCTTATTTTACTTGCATGTTGTTCTCCAGGTCTATACACGTTGCAGAAAATGTAAAGATTTAATTCTTTCTTATGGCTGAATACTATATCTAGGTGTTTTTATACCTAGAAGATTAGCGAATACATGGCAATATAAATTGAAAATGATTTTTTAAATAGATTGTTGCTTGACATGATTTTCTCCTTATTCATTGATCTATGGAAACAATATCAAGTTTCCCTTTAGAGTTGTTAGTACAAAGGACTGCATATTATTGGATTTGTTAACACAACACCACAATGTTTCCAATTAGAATTTTTTACTATATACTAGCACCTTGTAGAAATATCTCACTCCATTGTTCTTATGGTTTTATGGAATTCTTATTATATCTTTTGTTTTGTTTTTTCCATATAATATTAGAATCCATTTCTCTAGTTATAAGTTAAAAAACAGTAAACAAAAATCTACTTTCATTTTTACTTGGATTATATTAAAGGTATACATTAATTTAAAGGTAATTGACTTTTTTCTTAATGTTGAATGTTACTCAAGATTTTGTTTGTTTAGGATGTAAGTCTTAAACATTTCTTGGTAGTGACTTTAAATTCAATTTTTCATTATTTTATACCAAAATGCAACATTAAATTATCCTTTTGTTCATGGCAGGCACAAAATTATGCAGTTTGAAAATGGTAATAATTTACTTCCTCTTTTCATTTTTTTTGCATCTGTAAGTAAATTCTTCTTATTAATGAAATTACCTTTGGTATTTCGTGGCTAAGTTTGACTTTAAGGTTTGAGATAGGTAGTTTCCATTATTATATTCTTTAATTTTTTAATTAAAATTGTTCTGAAAGGGTGTAAATGTCTTTATAGGGTCTGTGAAGATAACCCTATGATTTTTCTCTAACACATATAATAAACTGCATAATAATAAATTTGCTAGTATAGAGCTATTTTTGTATGCCTGAAATGAACCCCACTGTTCATAATGTATAATTATTTTAATGTGTTGTTAAAATCTGATTGCTAATATTTTATGTAAGATTTTTTTTTTAATTTTTTTATTGGTTGTTCAAAACATTATAAAGCTCTTGACATATCATATTTCATACATTATATTCAAGTTGGTTATGAACTCCCAATTTTACCCCAAATACAGATTGCAGAATCACATCGGTTACACATCCACATTTTTACATAATGCCCTATTAGTAACTGTTGTATTCTGCTACCTTTCCTATCCTCTACCATCCCCCCTCCCTAAGATTTTATATTAATATTCTCAAGATTAGCTTATATTCTTAAATATGTGCAATTCTAAAATTGTTTAATATTAACATTAATATGAGTATCAAAATATGCTAATTTTTTCTATAACTCTGTTTTGATTTGTATTTTGTTGTCTGTGCACTGAAGTAATGTAAAAAGCATTGGAGTTGGGTTGGGGTTGTAGCTCAGTGGTAGAGCACTTGCTAGCATGTGTGTGGCAGTGGGTTTGATTCTCAGCACCACATATGAGCAAATAAATAAAGGTCCATCAAAAACTAATAAAAATATTTTTTAAAAAGCATTGGGATTAACTTAAAAGTATAGGTAGAATTTCTCTGTGAGACCACCTAATTTTAGGAATTTTAGGTGTTTGTGATTTTTCTCTGCTGCTTCTATTATAATCTGTTGATTTTGATTTTCTGTCATTTTAGAATTAAGTTGAATATTTAGTATCATCTTTTAAAAGTACTCATTTTATTTAGTTTTTTAAATTAATATAATTTTTATGATGTTCATCTTTTCCCTATTTTATGATTTTTACCTCCATAAAATGTTTATATTTCATGCTTACAATTTCTTGTACTATCTTGATTAATTGACATCTCTCCCCCACCACAACTGAGGTTTGATCTATGTATCAATATAATTTGTTGTTTGGAACAATCAGTTTTTACTTTTCTTAATTTACTCATTATTTGGTTTCAGTTTCTCTTGTTTAATAAACTTTTCAATTTTTTCACTGATTTATTTCTTTTAAAATTTCCTGAAATTGTTCTGAGATGTAGTGTTATCAATTATTCCTTATCTACCATCTAGCAATATCAAAGTATTGATGTTCCTATATATTGTGTATTTTCTGTTTGGCTAATTAACTTCGTTTTTTGGAACCAGGAATTGAACTCTGGGGCACTCAAACACTGAGCTACATCCCCAGCCCTATTTTGTATTTTACTTAGAGACAAGGACTCACTGAATTGCTTAGCACCTTGCCATTACTGAGGCTGGCTTTGAACTCACAATCTCAGCCACCAGAGCCTCTGGGATTACAGGCATACACTACCAGGCCTGGCCTTAATATTTTTATTAACAATATGAAAGTAACCAATTTCTTTAGAACTTCAGTTTTAGAATACCAATGAGTAAATAGTGCTTTGGAGCTACCATTTCTCTTTACAGATTGTGAAAATATTATATTAATGTTTTACCTTATTGTGATTTTAACTTTATTTTGAAGTTAAAATACTCCTTAACATATCAAGTCATTTTAATTTATTTTAAGTGAGAAAAAACTACATTAAATATAGTCTTTCAGATGATTTGCTGTATAAAAATTAAATTGATTTATCCTTACTTTTGACAACCTTATAAATGGTTCTTGCCTTCTTCTATCAGTTACCTTTTATCTGTTTAAATATTTCATAACTTAAAACATAAGTGATTTTAATATGCTGGCAGATTCCTAAATTAATAGCCATTTGTGTAGACCAAAACATCTAATGGGTACCTTATATTTTAGGTTAGTGGGATGGTTTGGCCATGAACTCAGCACCAGATTTAAAATGGATAACAGTAAGTATATTCAATTTTATGTCATAAGTCACTTTATTTTAGCTTCATTTTAATTTTCATCTATGTGTATATCATATATAATATACATGCCCCATGGAAACTGCACTTTGAAAATGTCACTGAGATTTTTTAAAATAAGAAATGACATTTTCAGTGTGTAAGAGTGTTTATAGATTTTAGCATAATTTTGAGCCTATTCATTTGTAGAGAGATAAAAGGAAATGAAATTTAACTTATGGCCCATGTGGCTTGATCAGAGCCTCTCAACATGGAGTGCCCAAAACATCAGGCCTTGGGAACAAGAGGGAATTGGGTACTCAAGGTCAGATCCAGAGAGTCTTGGGTCTTTACTGTATAATAGTTTTGTGATGCTGCAAATCACAGTATTCATCTTGTGTCCTTGCTGTTTTGTTCCACATACCTAATATGAATAATATCTATTTCAGGGTCTGGTTTAAGGGTAAGTCAAATTCAAAACTGTAAACCAAGTAACATATAGTAGTACTTTTAAATATGATCATTTTTTACTCATATTATTTTTTGTGGCTTTTGCCATGTACCAAAGAGTGATGTTAAACCCCAGTGAATAAAAATAAAACTGTGCTGTATATTTGTCTCAAGGAGGGTCCTATTTTGTTTCCTGAATGACCCTATTTTTAGTCATATAGAATACAGAAAGCATTGTAAGTGCTTTGAGAATTCATTGTAAACTAAATATTTCAGAGTGCTTCCAAACCTATGCATGTATTTGAATTTGCAACAATTAGGATACAAAGGATCCGGGAGGACAACTTTAATCAAATCAAGAAAGCTTTTTTTGTTTGTTTTTTTAATGTGGTTGTTGAATGATTAGCTCTGATATGACTGTTACTTAAATTCTTTAATTCTATGAGATGGGTTTTCTTATCAGTAAATGAAATTTGATTAAGTATGGAGAAACATTTTCTATCACAAAAGACATGATAGGAAAAATTTTAAGGTTTTTTGTGTTATATTTGTCTCTGCAAATATTCAGCTCTGCATTGTGGAGCTAAAGGTACTATAGATATGCACAGATAAATGATTTTGATTATGTTCATCAACTCTTTTCCATCCTTATGACAAAATAACTGAGCAGAGCAAGTTAAAGGAGGAAGGATTTATTTTGACTCAGTGTTTCAGAGCTTTTGGTCCATGGTTGGCTGGTTGCATGAATTTTGGGCCCGTGGTGAGGCAGGATATGATGGTCAAATAGCAGGTAGAGCAAAGCTGCTCACCCATGGTGATCTAGAAGCAGAGTAAGAGAGTGTGTCAGAGGTTAGGGACAAAATAAACTTCAAAGAAATATCCCTGGTGACCCACCTCTTCCAACTCAGCCCCACTCTTCCCAAAAGCATCATCAACTGAATCCTGAGTCTTAAATACATGAACCTTTGGGATACATAACAGAATCAAACCATAGTAATGCCGATGTTCTAATAAAACTTTATTTAAAAAAATAGGTGGTAGATTGGATTTGACCTAGAGATCACAGTTAAACTTGCCCCAGATTAGAAGAATTTTTAAAGACCTTTTTTTTTTAAATATTTTCTTGGTCAAGCTTAGTTTTAGTTTAATTTCTTCCTAGCCATCTTAGCCCTGATGGATTTAGCTTGCTACAATTTATTGTACTTATTCTAACTGGAATAATATCTGTTATCAATTAATATTTCCAATATGTCATACTTAGGCAATTTTTCCCCCTAGCTCTCCTCTTTTTCCTAAGTAAGCTACTTGACCTAATAATCCTGGAGTTCAAAGTAACCTTTGCAGTTTATTTTATTCATTTTTCTGCATTTGGGTGACATTATAATTACATAGCATTCTTTTCAATCACTCCTGTAATCCTAGCTACTTAGGAGGCTGAGGCAGGAGGACCTCAACTTCAATGCCAGTCAGAGCAAACTTAGCGAGAGCCTGCTCCAAAAATATAAAAATAAAAAGGACCAAGATATGGCTCAGAGGTAGAATGCCCCTGGTTTCAATCCCAAGAACTGAACAAAAGGAGAAGGAAGGGAGAGAGAAGGGGAGGAAAGGTAGTGCTCCATGATAGAAAATCAAAGCATGGGTTGAACAGGAATATTGGCTTGGAAGTTGGAAGACAGGCAGAGGACACAGTCAGTAAAAACTTCCCAGAAGAGGTTATTTTTGTTGTTTATTTGCTTTGTTTGTTTGTTTTTGAGGTGAGGTCTTGCCCTGTTGCCCAGGCTGCCCTTGAACTTGGTATGCTTCTGCGCCAGCCTCCTCTGACTAACTGGAATTACAGGCATGGGCCACTGCACTCAGACTAATACACCACATTCATTTTGTGTATAAGGGCTGTATTGATTGGTAGTTTGCTGAGAAGGTAGGAACAGGAGAGATGGGAATTGCCAATGAAAAGAAAATATGCCAGTATTTTCACTCCATTAAGTTTCTCTTAAATATCTTAGGCATTCCCTCTGTGTAATAAAAATATTTAAGTCCTAATATTTTACTGTTCTTTCTTGTCTTGTTGGCCCTCTTGAAAGCATATTCTTTAATAAAGACATAATATTAACTTTTCAGAACTGCAGTTAATCCCTGGGGTCAGTGGATTCCGTATTTCCAATCCTCCCATTTTGTTGGTCTGTTCATTGCATGCTAGTTTGGAGGTAAGAGATCTGCATGTCAGCCTTTCCTGTCTTTACTTTTTCTCCTTACCTGGTTGCCACAGGTTGTAGTACTTTCTCTGCTAATAAGCAAGATTATAAATGTACACTGTACATAAAGGAAGGACAAAAGGCAGCATCTTCCTATTGGAATGGTGACTATATGGTGATTGTCACCTGTCATTTATATTTTCTGCCCCAGACTCAGTGCTTGACACATTGTTGGACTGTAGTAAACACTAAATGGAATTCAGCTGGGGAGACATATATTTTGGTTCCACTTAAAATCTGTGTGAATTTGAATAAGTTATTTGACCTTCTCTATATATATAAATAATTTAGTGTCCAGTGTTTAATTCTTCAGTAATTCACTCAAGCAACATGTATTTATTGAGAAAATATTTATGGGCCAGGCACTATTGTGATTTCTGGGGATTCTGTTTCTTCTACTTCTGTGAGCCAGTGAACTGACAAAGTGCCAGGTGATAAAGCTATAAATGACTTACCTTCAAGTGAGGGGAGTTATTAATAATTAGAAAAGTGAATTCTATTATATATAAATTATTATAATGCATCAAATTAAAAAATAAATAAATTTTTGTTTTATAAAATAATAATAATAAGAGTAAATCAAAGATTCTGTATGATTTCCTCATTAGACAGAGTTCTTGCTTTCCTGAGGCTTCTATGCCATTATATAATCTCTACTATTGTGACTTAATATGGTCCTTTAATATTTTGTTTAAGTTTAGTTTCACCATAAATTAATATTTACATAATGAGTTAATTGTTATATATATATATATATATATATATATATATATACACACACACACACACACACACACACATATATACACACACATGAAAACAGAAAAAAATATATACATAAACCAAATTTATTTTTTTATATTATTTAGGAACAGATTCAATTTATTTGAGTAAATATAGATTGTTAATAATTTTATGCTATATGATTAACAATCTTAATACACATATTAATTAAATTATATATTGTATATACAAATATTTGGGTAAAATATATTTTATGTAAATGTACATACCTATTCTAATAGAGGTTTTATATATATAGCTATTCAAACAAGGCTTTTATTTTTTCTTCGGTGCCTCTTAAAATCATCAAGCTCATGATATTTTGGGAAATCAAATTGTGGAGAATACCAGAATCAAATGAGTGACTGAATAAAGACTTCCAAATCCCTTCTATGCCCTAAATTGTCAAATTTCATGAACACTCATGGCAGTTTCTCATTATGACCACTGGATGGCAATGTCAAGTTCCTTTGTTTTTATTCAAGTTCACCACTATGCAGTGATAATTGCCTTATATTCATTTCGTCACAACTTAGAAAGCACCTACTCAGGTTGACCACTTGATGGGGCATGAGCTGTTTTCACTTTGAGGCAGATTGTTTTTTTTAATTGGATTACACAGGCAATGACAAGATTTTTCAGACAGTGACACTTTTATATTTTTTAAGTAAATATCTTAGTAATTCATAATATTTGAGTTGCTTTATAATATCCACTTAGAAAAAAAAGTGTTTCTCAAAAAAACAACATTTTAAAACAAAGTGAAATTTCAGTTTACTTTGCAAGTGTGCATCAGGAAGATGAGTTACAATCAGAAAGACACCAAGATATATCATAGAAGGACTAAAAAATAACATGATTTTATCTGATTTTCTTTATCTTTACAAATAATTTTTCAGACAACTAGAAATTTTCTTTTATACACTGTCTTTTTGGTATGGCCTCCACAGTAAGCTGGTCTTTCCTCCAAGAGTCACCCTTTCTTCTATGGAAAAAGAGACGATTCTTGTTTTTTTCTACCACTAGTTTCCTACCAAACTGCATTAATGGAACCTAGACAAAATTTTATTCAAAGACTCTGAAGACTGATTTTTTTCCCTTTAATATATAAGCTTAAACCTAACCAAAGGACCCAAAAAGCCATTGAAAGGGGAATGTAGACATCCATGGAACTTGTCATCACTTAATTAATTTTCTAGAGCCTCCTATCAAGGTCATTCACTTCTAAGACTATGTTCTGACCATAATTATCTTTAGTTAGTCAAGCTATATGTTTGTGAAAGAATTGTTCAAAATCCTCCCCATTATAAATTGTAAAATGTTTAAATTATAAAGTAAGAAATGTTCCACATTGTGTGCTTTCTACACATGTCTGAGCTTGCCCTGTGAGTCAGTATTATTGAATTAATCATAGTGGTGTTTACCTATCTTTTAAAAAGTTAATGCATTGTAGGAGATAAATGGTTGAAGTTGAAGTTGAAGTAAGTGAAATATATGCATGACTTCAACTTTCTCCTTTGTTTTCACCTTCCTTTCAGAAAATACTATACATACTCAAATTTCAACTGTACAGAAAGATTCTATACTCAAGAATCAATATTACTTAGACATTACCTCTGATTTTCAAAGCAATGCATTTGTAAGAGACTAATAATGAGTGTAATCACGTGTGCACATGATGATTAATTCCATTAAACATACCTTATTGTCAGTTTCAAACTGTCTTTTCCTTTATATCTGGGCTTTTAAATGACTTATACAGTATTTAAAAAATATTGTGGATGAAAGGAAGTAACTTGAAGCTAAAACCCAAATGAGTACTCTATTGAATAGTGGTCACTAAATGTGACCTTAAACACGAAACTAGTGCTCTTGAATTCATTTGCCTCATTTTTCTGAGGATGTTAAGAGTTGATTACTTCAGAAGTTCCCTCACTCTTCCAATTACTTATTTGAAATTTATATATATTATATTTTAAAGTTTCATATTTATATATAGCAACAGACAATTTTAGATCTGTTTAATAAATAAACTCATAATGAAGGAAATTGTTTTAAAATACAAAATTAAAACAATTAATTTGCACAGAAGATCAGAATACCCCCCAAAAAAAAAGAAAGAAACACACTGTGTTTCTTCACACTGCACTAAAGACCTAATTTTAAGAATTTAAGAGAAAAGTATCACAACTAAAAACATCATACTATGTATACAATTTTTAGTCAATCTTATCTATCTTTTCCAGATTACTGTTTATTTTACTCAGTAAGAACAAAATAGCCCAAGTAGTTAAAACTCTGCCAAGAATTCTCATAAGCTGAACATTTTTAAGCTACATTAATTTTTTCTAAAAAAAAAATTTTGAATACTGAAAACATAAAATAACAAGAAACAAAAAGAAAAGAGATTATTTGTTTTATTTCCCTGTTAACTTCTATTAGCCTCTATAGTATTTTTATGTGAGGACTCAGAATAGACTTTTATATTCTGTGAGAAAAATTTAAAAGTGCTTCAAAACACAATTTGCCCTTGTTGTGGTTATAATGTGGAAAATATTAAATTAAAGGTTATATTCTTATTAAAGAGTAGAACTCTTTAACATTCTACATTCATACATTCTACAGTATGCTAAAATCAAAACTATTTGCCATTTAAAAAATGATTTCTAGTTACCAAGAGTAATCTAGAAGAGCAAAATCTCCTAACTCACTTTAAAATTTTATGAACGTAAGTAAATAGTACCCAAATTTTACAAACCTTTGAATACAAATTAATTATCATTGTAAGTATACAGACAACCCTCCATATCCACAGACTCTACATCTATAGAGTTCACACTTGGACTGAAAATAGTCATGAAAAAATTTTTGCATAAGTATAGACTCCTGTTTTCTTGTCATCAGTCCCCAAATAATGCAGTATCACAACTAGTTACACAGCAATTACATTATACTGAGTACTGAAGGTAATCTGGAAATCATTTAAATTATATGGGAGGAAGTACATAGGTGATATGCACGTAGTACACAATTTTTAATCAACAGACTTGAGTATTGTGAATTTTGTTATGCAGGGTGATCCTGGAAGCAATCCCCTGTAGATTCCAAGGGACAACTGCACTTCACTCATTACACCCATCTGTGTCTTATGGGGCCTGTAGTAGAACCAAAAATATTTCTAGAATTATTTATTAATTAAAACAGCATATTGTTGATCTCCTAAGAGTCTTTTCATCTCTCTCATATTTTTTTTTATTCCAAATTTATCCAGAAAGACTTATTGTGGGTCCTGCCTTGTGAGGCTCTGCTCCTGTCCTCTGGAACTATGTTAATCCAAATCTTATTGAGTTCCCTTGAGTTTTCATTGCTTGAAGTCTACCTACATTTTGCTTTACATAAGGAAATGATGAAATACCACCTATCAAATTCCATGCAATCTGGGTCACCTAAGTCTTGAAGCAGTTTGCTTGCATCCAGATCTGCAATTATCAGCCTCCAATGGTAGCTGATTACCTTTGCAGGCCTACAAACATGGTCCTGAGGTGTGGTTGGAGAGACATGGTATCATTTTGTCTTTTCTGCCCCACCCCCACTTTTTTTAGATACCGTTACCTTTTAATACAATTCCCATCTTCTCCTTCAGCCAAATTCATAAGCTCCAACAGTGTAGTTCCTGAAAATATATACCTTCAACTGAGCCCTGTTAGAATGTGAATCCACAAATGTCACATGTACATACCAAAAAAAAAAAAAAAAAACAACTGTATTCGTAGACTTGAGGAACTCTAAATATCACCACATGACCCTATCTGTATCCTTAATAGTTTTGCTCATAGTGCAGAAAAGGAACATTAAGTGTCATGCCAGCACATCATGCTGTTTGAAGTCTATTCAATTCTTGTGCATAGGATATACTTTTAAACTTTATTTAACCTTCAGAGATAAGCCAGAAAAGCATGTCTGTTCTTACTCTAATGTTCCAACATTTGGTATTGTGGGTCCTTGTCACTCATCTTAATGTATGACATCTCTGGCAGCAAATGGTAGTATTTTCACAACAGTGCTTGAGTTTATCAAAGAAAAAAATATATAAAATAAAAGAAATAAAGAAACAAACAAACTATCCCAATGCTTCAGTAATAATAAGTGTATTATGTGACGTTGTTTGCTTCTTGGTCCAAGAAAATGTAGCTTCCTTATTTAACTATTTGTTTTCTAACAAATCAGTTAAAAAATAACAGATAATATTGGTAACACTGCCTTCACATAAACATATATATTTATCTCATATTGCACTTTTTGCTAACCAAACCATATATAAGAATAAAAAAGGTCTTTTTTAAATAGGTGGGCATAATATGTTTATTTTACTATTTTTTTTTTTTTTTTTTTTGGTGGTGCTGAGGATCGAACCCAGTGCCTCATGCATGCTAGGTAAGCACTCCACCACTGAGCCACAGTCCCAACCCTAGAAAAAGTCTTTTTGATTATGATTTTATTAACCGGTTTTGAGAGCAAAGTTTAAATTTCAAAATATTTGAATGCATTAAGTTATGCTTTACTTGGTGATTAAATTAATATAAAATAACTCTGAAGTCATATGCTATTAACTCAATTTTTCTTCTTTCACAAGTATTGTTTAAATGATATTTGCAGTTTTCCTCTCATGGAAATTTGCCTTTATATTTAATGGAAAAACACTTAGAAGAGGACATGTTTTTACAAAAAAAAAAAAAAAAAAAAGATTAGCTAAAACTGAGTGTTTATTGGATAGGCCAAAAGTCGGCATCTCCTTTTTTATGCATGATTTACACTTAATTTTGGCTTCTTTGAAGATCAATAAAGTACTGCTAACCTGATTGTTTCTCATTTGGCAGATCTTTAGGCAAGCGACTATAAAAGCACTGAGGAAAAAATCCATTTTGCTAACTGGTTATCTGGAATACATGATCAAGCTTTACTTTAACAAAGATATAGGAGGAACCAAGAAACCAATTGTGAATATAATTACTCCATCCAATATAGAGGATCGGGGCTGCCAATTGACACTAACATTTTCTATTCCCAAGAAAAATATTTTTGAAGAACTAGAAAAAAGAGGAGTTGTTGTAAGTATATTTTTCCCATTGCTACCAGATTATTTGTATGGGTTGCAATTGGTGGTAAATTTTGGATTTGTTGGTTTATTCATACTTGCATGTCATTTCACATCAATCCATTAGGATAAATTTTGTTCCAAATAAGCTTTCAGTGCACTGCTAATTGTAGGGCACAGAGATGTATCTGTCATTTCCGATAAAAGAGAAGATATCACAAATTTTTGTTGTGAGAAATGGTGTTATATAATTTACTAATTTTTTAAATTATAGTGCAAAAAGAAATTATTTCATTGTGATGCATTAGTATATGTTTTTTATTCATTCACTAGATTTAACTCAAGAAAACTCCAGTATACCTTTATTTAATCTATGAAACAAAAGTAGTTAGTGAAGGATAAGAAATAAATTGGTCTTCTTTAGTAGTCTAATAAACTCAGTTATTTTTACCATTGTCAAAAAGATTTGGAGACAATTCTCAAGAGTAGTAACATTGCAAGGAATATATAGTTTCTTAACCCCTGGGCCTATGTGGACTTTAGTCTCCTGAAGAGAAATAACAACAGCTGATGGGAATTGAATAGGACAGTGTGCATAGACTATATATTATCTCCTTGACTCACAATGTTGTTTCTTGAAGTAGGCTATAGTGATCTTCAGGGTCAGGCCAAATTTTCTAGTTGTACAGCGTTCCTGCATATAGCCAACTTCTTATCTGTAAGATCAGGGATTAGAGAATTAAATTTAAGGAAAATTTGCTAACACTCCCAGTAAGAATATCATTCATTTAAATTTGTCCAAGGATTCTACTCTGTCCAGGATTTCCCCACAGAAAAAAATGAATATATGATCATTTGGATGGTGAGAGAAGATAATTATTGATTGGACCTCAGGCCCAACCCATTAGTATTTTCATTATGAAGAAGAAAGTTTCAAATTACAGAACCACAATGTTTTACTGAAAGTGAAAAATTGCTTGTGCATTAAGTTTCAAGGAAGCCAGCATGAATGCTTTATGGAAGTTTATCTTGAATGGACATTTTCAGTATGTGCTAAAATTTTTGTGACTTTATATTATTTTATTTTTCCTCCAGTGTGACAAGCGAGAACCAAATGGGATTCGAGTGGCTCCAGTTCCTCTCTACAATTCTTTTCATGATGTTTATAAATTTATCAATTTGCTTGCTTCTGTACTTGATTCTGTAGAAACAAAAAAGTAGCAATGTTCTTATTATTAACTTACACAAATTTACTGAAAGATGCCTTATTTTACTACTATTCAATTTTTAATTTTTAAAAATAAATTTTAATTATTAAAAATATTTCAAAATTGATTTCTTTTATTGATTTTTTAAAAAATAAATGACAGCAGAATGCATTACAATTCTTATTACACACATATACCACAATTTTTCATATCTCTGTTTGTATATAAAGTATTTTGACACCCAATTTGTGTCTTCATACATATACTTTGGATAAGGATGTCTATCACATTCCACCATCTTAGCTAATCCCCTGCCCCCTCCCTGTCCCTCCAACCCCCATGGAAGGAATAGATCAAAATTGATTTCATGTAGATGGCAATAAATCACATGCTTTATATTTTAAAAAGATGTCATTTTTCAAAACATCTGTGTCCTTGTGAAATCCACATGGTTGTCCAGTTTCTTGGAATTTGGGGAATCAAAGACTGTGTATCAACCATTAGGAACACAGTCTTAATTAGCTATCACATTTCATGGTTATTGAAATGTTTTCTGTTTAATTTATAATTTGGCAACTGCATAATTCTTATGGAATTCTTGTGTCAGTATTGGAAATGTATTAGTTTTAATTTATCAAAGAGTATATTTTAAGACCTGAGATTGAACTGTCTGATATATATATATATATATATATATATATATATATATATATATATATATATGATTTTGCAATGTTCTATCCAGTTCCAGGCAAAACAAGTACATTCTATTGGGCAATAGCTTTCAATTATTTTCATTCACAAACTATAATAAGAAATATATTCAATATCAGAGACCCACATTTATAATGTGTACATCATACTTTATTGATTATAAGACATTTTTGTCATGTTGAATATCTCTGAAATAGGACATATCTTTTTATTTTCAAAAAATAGCTTCTTGAAATCACCATTAGCCCTGCTTTTATGATCTCTCACAATGAATATATAGTATCTTGGATTTTATTTAGAAAATAGTATATGTTACAAAAGATTCATAAGTTATTTGGCTGTGCTCTAATATTTATTACTTTAGTTTATCTCATTCAAGAAATGCTGGTAGCTGGGCATGGTGGCGCATACCTCTAATCCCAGTAACTCTAGAGGCTGAGACAGGAGGATCATAAGTTCAAAGCCAGCCTCAGCAACAGCAAGGCCTAAGCAACTCAGTGAGACCCTCTCTCTAAATAAAATATAAAAGGGTTGGAAATATAACTCAGTTGTTGAGTGCCCCTGAATTCAATACCTGGTACCCCCACCCCCACCCCCCAAAAAAGAAATGCTTGTTATAAATAATTCAATTGATTTCCCTACCCACACTTGATTTTAGTTGGTACTTTTCAAGGATGGTCTTTTATTTATATTATCATTATTTCTAGTTTCTTTCAATAGGAATGTCCCCTGACATTAGATACTACTGTCTTGGAAGTAGTGAATATTTGCTATTGAGGGGAATTAGGAAATGAGTGATTCATCTTTCAACCTCTTTATCCCAAATTTTTGGACCTTTCTTATCACTATGAAAACTAAAGTTACACTCACCTCTGTTAAACTTCCCTAGTTTTCCCTTATTGAAGCCACAACAGTATTTATGAATTGACCAAACATGTGTGTACATAACCAGCAGTAAAAGGCCCATATATTATGATTCCTGTTAATTAAATAAATTTGAATAAAATAAACTGACTTAGATTAACTACTTTGGAGGGTAGAGTTAAATAATAAGACATGGAACTCCAACATCAACAACTACCAATACTGGCAACTACTCATATTTATCAACATCTTGTCATGCACCTTGTTGTGATACACTATGTATGCTATCTCACTTAAGTGAATGATTACATAATTGCCTGTGGTAAATCTCCTACTCCTTTACAGGGTGAAATTCATCCTCAGAGATGGAAGAGTTCCCTAACCCTTAAAACTTAAGCATGAGAAAAGGCCCAGTGGCCCGCGGCGGGACAGAGCTTCCAATCACTCCTGCAAGGTAGGCAGGCCTGCGACCCACTGGCAGAAGAGGAGCAGCGGCCTGCTGAGAGGCAGAACCGCCCCCTCCCCCTGTGCCGGCAAGGTAGACAGAACTGTGACCCCCCACAGAACAGGCCCAGCGGCCTGCTGAGGGGCAGAGCCGCCCCCCACCCCCCACGCCTGCCAGGTAGGCGGAACTGTGACCACCGACAGAAAAGGCCCAGTGACCCGCGGAGGGGCAGAGCTTCCAATCACTCCTACAAGGTAGGCGGGCCTGCAACCCACCGGCAGAAGAGGAGCAGCGGCCTGCTGAGAGGCAGAGCCGCCCCCTCCCCCTGCGCCTGCAAGGTAGACGGAACTGTGACCACCATCAGAACAGGCCAGACCTGCAACCGACAGACAGAACAGGCCCAGTGGCCTGAGGAAGGGTAGAGCCGCCCCGCCCCCCGCGCCTGCAAGGTAGGTGGACCTGCGACCCACTGGCAGAACAGCCCCAGAGGCCTGCAGAGGGGCAGTGCCGTGCTGCCTGCGCCTGCAAAGTAGGCAGAACTGCGACCACCGACAGAACAAGCCTAGCGGGCCGCAGAGGGACAGAGCCGCCGCCCGCGCCTGCAAGGTAGGCGGACCTGCTACCAACCGGCAGAGCAGGCCCAGCGGCCTGCCGGCGTGGTAGGCACATTGCCCCAATTGGAGGAGGGGCAGAGCCGCCGCCCGTGCCTGCGCGGGAGACTTTGCAACTATACAAGACCAATATAAATATATAGGGGGAAAATTCAATAGCACAACAGTTTCACCAAGTAGAAAGGAACGCGAACAGTATGAAGAGACAAGGAAAGAAAGGACCACAAGCAATGCAGGTCAACTCAACGTTAGAAGAGGTAATAGCTGCAGCAGATGGAATGTCAGATAAAGAATTCAGGATATACATGCTTCAGATGATCTGGAGTCTCAAGGAAGACATCAGACAGCAAAATCAGACAATGAAAGATCACTTCAACAATGAATTACATAAACAAATCCAAGAAGCAAAAGATCAACTATACAGGGAGATAGAGGTTATAAAAAACAAACAAACAGAAATCCTAGAAATGCAGGAAGCAATAAACCAACTTAAAAACTCAATGGAGAATACTACCAGCAGAGTAGAACACTTAGAAGACAGAATATCACACAATGAAGATAAAGTATTTCAACTTGAAAAGAACATAGACAGCTCAGCAAGACTGTTAAGAAACCATGAGCAGAACATCCAAGAAATATGGGATAACATCAAGAGACCAAATTTAAGAGTCATTGGGATACAGGAAGGGACAGAGTTTCAAACCAAAGGAATGAGCAATCTATTCAATGAAATAATACGAGAAAACTTCCCAGACTTGAAGAATGAGACAGAATCCCAAATCCTAGAAGCCTACAGGACGCCGAATGTGCAAAATCATAAGAGACCCACACCTAGACACATTATAATGAAGATGCCCAACATACAGAATAAGGAGAGAATTTTAAAAGCTACAAGAGAAAGGAAGCAGATCACATTTAGGGGTAAGCCAATCAGGATAACAGCTGATCTTTCAACACAGACTCTGAAAGCTAGAAGATCCTGGAATAACATATTTCAAACACTGAAAGAAAATGGGTTCCAACCAAGAATTGTGTTTCCAGCGAAATTAAGCTTCAAGATGGAAGATGAAATTAAAACCTTCCACGATAAACAAAAGTTAAAAGAATTTGCAGCTAGAAAACCATCTCTTCTAAACATCCTCAGCAAAACATTACAGGAAGAGGAAATGGAAAATAACAATGAAAACCAACAGTGGGAGGTAGGACAGTAAAGGGGGGAAAAATAATCAAAGAGGAAAACTAACCATGTTTAGTAACATAAATAAACAAATATGGCTGGAAGAACAACCCATATCTCAATAATAACCCTAAATGTTAATGGCTTAAACTCACCAATTAAGAGACACAGGCTAGTAGAATGGATCACAAAACAAGACCCAACAATATGCTGCCTACAGGAGACGCATTTGATAGGAAAATACATACATAGGCTGAAGGTGAAAGGTTGGGAAAAATCATATCACTCATATGGACTTCGGAAACAAGCAGGAGTGTCCATACTCATATCAAATAAAATAGATTTCAAGCCAAAGTTAATCAAAAGGGATAAAGAGGGACACTACATACTGCTTAAGGGAACCATACACCAACAAGACATAACAATCATAAATATATATGCCCCAAACAATGGTGCAGCTATGTTCATCAAACAAACTCTTCTCAAGTTCAAGAGTCTAATAGACCACCATACAATAATCATGGGAGACTTCAACACACCTCTCTTGCCACTGGACAGATCTTCCAAACAAAAGTTGAATAAGGAAACTATAGAACTCAATAACACAATTAACAACCTAGAGTTAATTGACATATATAGAATATACCACCCAACATCAAGCAGTTACACTTTTTTCTCAGCAGCACATGGATCCTTCTCAAAAATAGATCATATATTATGTCACAGGGAAACTCTTAGACAATACAAAGGAGTAGAGATAATACCATGCATCCTATCTGATCATAATGGAATGGAACTGAAAATCAATGATAAAAGAAGGAAGGAAAAAGAATACATCACTTGGAGAATGAACAATAGGTTACTGAATGATCAATGGGTTATAGAAGACATCAAGGAGGAAATTAAAAAATTCTTAGAGATTAATGAAAACACTGAAACAACATATCAGAATCTATGGGACACATTGAAAGCAGTTCTAAGAGGAAAATTCATTGCTTGGAGTTCATTCCTTAAAAAAAGAAAAAATCAACAAATAAATGATCTCATACTTCATCTCAAAATCCTAGAAAAAGAAGAGCAAAACAACAGCAAAAGAAGTAGAAGGCAAGAAATAATTAAAATCAGAGCTGAAATTAATGAAATCGAAACAAAAGAAACAATTGAAAAAATTGACAAAACTAAAAGTTGGTTCTTTGAAAAAATAAACAAAATCGACAGACCCTTAGCCATGCTAGCGAAGAAAAGAAGAGAGAGAACTCAAATTACTAGCATACGGGATGAAAAAGGCAATATCACAACAGACA